ATTGGAGGGCCAGGTGTGAGTTGGTTCAGACTTGACAGGAAGTAACTTAGATAGATAGATAGATAGATAGATAGATAGATAGATAGATAGATAGATAGATAATGACTCATGGATGACCCTTTAGCAAGTTTTCAGAGGCAGTAAATCACATATGAGGAGATTGCCCATATTCCTATATGGAACAGTTATTGGACAGTAGAGTATGTGTGTAAAATATAATATTAGTATAATATAATTAATATAATAAGTTCTTTATTGTGTGTACTGGTAAAGATTATTGACTTTCTCTGTATCCTCCATCCAGTTTGTCATCATCTGATTTCTGTGTGTGAGATTTGTCAGCATCTCCGAGAGTCTTATCAGCTAGTACCATTTTTACCCACTTATCTTGAGTTTGTTAGCTGCACTTAGTGAAGAAGATGCAACAATCTCCTCTTGTGTGATTTACTGCCTCTGAAAACCCACTGGAGGGGCAGCTATGAGTTTGTTCTGACTTGACAGTACACAACATAATCTTGAAATTGTTAGCCATAGCAACTACAGGAACCTCTTTGAAAGTCCAAGTTAGGGTATTGTTTTTGTTGACACTTTTCTTGCCAGTAGCACGGACATTCTCTAAACTTCTTGGTTTGTGCTGGATTCTCACAAGGCATCTATCCTTTTCAGCATGTGCTTGTCTGTGTTTTATCTGCTTTTCCCCCTAATTTTGAAGTTATTAGGGTGCCCCTTACACAGGTGTGACCTTATTAGATTATGTTATGAAGGTAATTATATTACTTGGAATCCATAGGTATATGATTCAATCAAGTAATTTTAAAATAATAAGTATTAATATATTGTTGTTATGTGCTGTCCAGTCGCCTGCGACTCATAGCGACCCTATGTACAACAGCCCTAAACTCCGCTCTGTCCTGTACCAATCGCATCTTATCTGACACTCCCATCCCAATTATCCCAGTCACTGAATCAATCCACCTCATAGAGGGCCTTCCTCTCCTGCGATGTCCCTCCACCCTCCCAAGCATGATGTCCCTCTCCAAGGACCAGTCTCTCTTCACAACATGTCCAAAGTATGTTAGATGGAGCCTCAGAATCCTTGCCTCCAAGGAGCCACCCGGTTTAACCCTTTCCA